TGTGGCGTATTTGTAATAGATACAAGACTCGTGGTTTGCTGGTTTAATTCAGTATGTGTCGCCTCAAGAGAAGCTAAACTTGTAATCGATGAGGGGGACATAGTAGAAATTGTACTTTGAAGAGATGAACTTTGTTGTATCGATTGTGAAGTAGGGACACTTTCTGGTATAGTTGTAGCATATGTAGCAGTTTGATTTTCACTGGTTGAATCTGTAAGACAAAATCATAATTAGCATAATCTTTGTATTACAATTATTAAAAAGCTTATTCAACGTAATACATTTGATTGTTTCAGTCAAATACAGTTCTTGTATAATCTTATAAATAAGCATGTTGTTGATATCGATAAAATCATATCTAGTTTCTCGTATGAGTCAGTAATGCGCATCACAATTAACATATTATGTGCTTTCCGACATTACACACATTTTTACACGTTTTTTTGCAGACACATTAACGTGATGATTCCGCAAACAAACATAAAAATATTATGTTAATAGATGCCGTTTGGAATCTAATGAAATGTAACAATTGTTTTTTATTATCACCGTAACATACGTCACTCTAACTGAACAGCGAATCATAAATTTGTTCGCGCAATGATAATCTAACCTTCGTTAGTTGTAACCACTCTTTTGAAACAATATTGAATGAATATTGGTAATTTTTACATCTCTACACAAAAAACTGCGAATGATAACTTTATATTTATTTACTTGCTGCAGCAATTGCATCTGGCTCGGTGAGCAATACCGCTAGTGTAGTGGCAATAACTGTGGCGATGATCCCCGAAACAACAGCAATAGCAACAATTGTAGCAGTAGTACCGGCTGCTCCTTCGCCACCTTGTTGTGATGGATTATTTCTGCACAGTTGTTGCTGTTTGATAATTAATAAATTGTTTGAGAAACTCATTAATACTGATTGTAAGTTGTGAATTCAGTACGTCATAACATGACTTCGATTTATGTGTTGATTATTTGCATTGTGAAATCTAATTGATACTAATCTAAGTGCCTTTTATTGACCAAATCCAATGAAAACATCTACGTTTGAGAGATGTTTTATCGGTCTCAAAAAGCATATAATTTATGTTTTTTTCCGTTAGAACAACGGGGAGTAATACAGAGGCTGATATAAGCTAAAGTTCCTGATTGAGATCATATCATTGAGCTCATTGTTTTTAAAGGCATACCTGTGTTGTATATATCAACATTCACAATTCTTTTAACCGGAGCACTGTTATATTAACACAGCACATTAACAGTCAACTCATGTAGTGGAGGTAATACCAAAAAAACTAACGTCAACACAAATACAAAGTTACTTACCAGTTTTTCCCTAAGATCATTAATTTTTTTACCAACATCTCTGAATTGATCAGCCCTGTAAAGAATGCAATGAATATTACATGGTTTAATACAGTATTATATCATATATTCTGAGTATTCAGTATACAGGGGTAATGAATCCATATTATATAATAACTATTTCTAGTAAACTGATTGATGCTGTCACAGTGTAAGGCTTATCTCAATTGAGAGGGCCGCCCACAGAACTCACACTGAACAGGGTTTTTTTTACTGCTAGACTTGGGTAGACAAGACAATAGTGAAATACACACACACCAAAATATCGAGCTCCTGGCTTTAATACCTCTCACAATAATTACAAGAAATAAAGCACAGAAAAATACAATGAATAAAATAGGTGATTGCTTAGGGAAGTGTGCATTGGCGATAACTCACAGTTCCGGGATGTAATAATGAACGACAGTCAATGACTTCTGCAACACAACAACGAAGAAATGTAAGAGTCTTTCTTGCAGAGGAACGCTGGTATTCTGGAGGGCACCACTGAAAACAGGAGATCATCGAGCAGTTCATACAAGTCTCACAGAATGATGGTTGTAGCTTTTATCACTTGTCACACAATATCGTAGCAGCACACACTGGATACCAAGTTAAAATGATTGACTTCAACTGTCCTGAGTCTGTCCAATTTATAGGCATGATTCAGTGGCACCACCTGGGTTTCCACGTGAGCCAATCAGAATGTGATCTTGCGAGCAGCTGTTTTACGTAGGCAACACGGTAGATCATGAACATCCATTGTTATCCAAACAACAGCACACTAGGTAGATTCCAAATCTCATTCCAAAGTTGTAAACACCCTTTGTTATGTAAATCACAAGCACATCTGGTAGATTGCAAATGTCCTTCCAGAGTTGAAAACAAGTATGACCTGTCAATCACCTTTATCACACGGCAATGTACACCGTTTCTTCCCATGATTCCAGGCACACTCCCATTAGCAGCGTTTGAGGTTATATGACAAAAACATAAAATACTGGATGCTGACAGATGCTTTAACAAACCTCTTTTGAGTATTCACAATTCTACACAATTTTAACAGTCTATAACCAGTTGAACAGTGTTACATCAATCGTACAGACAACTAGCCTGGGTGTTAATTTATGCATGAACTTACATCCCGGAACTGTGAGTTATCGCCAATGCACACTTCCCTAAGCAATCACCTATTTTATTCATTGTATTTTTCTGTGCTTTATTTCTTGTAATTATTGTGAGAGGTATTAAAGCCAGGAGCTCGATATTTTGGTGTGTGTGTATTTCACTATTGTCTTGTCTACCCAAGTCTAGCAGTAAAAAAAACCCTGTTCAGTGTGAGTTCTGTGGGCGGCCCTCTCAATTGAGAT